TTCAATATGATCAATGATATCCGTAAATCATAATCGCGCGTTTGTATTTTGAACGGATGGCTATATTTTTCACCCTGAGGGGCCCGATTGGGCGCGCGCTCAAGAATCAGCCATCGGAGAGCGCGATGCGTCTTGGGATATTGGGCGCATTCGTGACGTCACTTGTGCCAGATGGGAAAGGCTACGGCGTGGATGTTGTGGTTCCGAGCGTTGCCACTTGGTGGCGCGTCGACGATTTACGACCTGTGACAACGTGGCCGTTTGAGATGTGCAAGGGCTGCACGCACGCTGCACAACGGCAAGTCGGCAACCACGGCAGCACTCACAAAACCAGCTCTGAGGCCGGATTCTCAAAGCGAACTCACGACGAAAAAAGTGCGTACGACAAATTTGAGAGAAAACGCGTACTCTCGAAACGAAATTGTCGTAACCTTTGCGCAGGTTACGACAGAATCCTACGACAGCTCCGAAGCTGTCTTACGCACTTTTTACGATCAAATCAACAAGGCCGACAGCGTCGCTCAGTTACTTGGTAACGACGACCAACGGACATTTATTTTTCTACGTGCTCTTCTCGTGCGTCCCGACTTCAACCAGCAAGAAAAAAGGAAGGAGTACTTGAAACAGACCACGACGATCAAGAACGCAGGATCCGCAAACACCCGAGAAGAGCTACAACGGCCACGATTCTACCGACCAAGGGAGCTCGGCAGAATATAGTAGGCGTATACAGCAACACCGACTCGGCGCACCGTTGCTCCGGCGGTCCTTGGCCAAGACCGTGTGCCCATGACCGGCTGGCCTGCTGAAGGGAATATGCCCGCGCGACCTTTGTGGACCCTTCCCGGATGAATAGTTTGATCCCTGAACTAAATTTCAGAGGTCAATCTTTTCCTCTTGTCATCTCGATCTCCTTTCCGAGACAGCGGTGACGAACGCTGTCGTCGAAAAGGGACTCATGGATTTTATCTCCTTGTTTTGTGCGATATAGAGCTCAAATAAACGCCATATGGATTACCTTCGCAACACAGTATGTACACTTTGTTATTAGTATGCCATTTTTATTCTGACACGACGCTACGTCACTGTCGAGTTCGTGGGAGCTACGCGATGTCGGTTTAACCTTTCTTTACCGAGTGTCATGTCAGTAGCGAGTTGCAATCGTAAAAGATCGGTTCAGAAGCGCTTACCGGAACGCGGTCTAACAGAGCGAATCCAGCACTTCGATCAAACGCGCGTGTCCACTCCGAATGTGAACAGGTATTTGCGTGGCTCTTGCTGACACTCTCGTAGTTCAAACGTATCTTTTTTAACGTCGGCTCGCAGCTCGCGACTCGCAGCAACTAATACCAGCCATGCCAGAAGCATCCTCGGGTCGTGTCGTGCGAAGAGCCGCAACGAGAACGAGCTCACTGTGGCCAACTACGCTTTGGCTTTCTCCGCCAAGGCTTTGCAAACGCGTTCAAGCCTAGGCTAATCCTGCCGGCAAGCCGTATTGACGCAGAACGGCGCTGCTCCTATGCCACAAGTGCTGTCACGAGAACTTTCCAACCATCCACCAGATGTGAATTTGAAATCGTTTAATTAGGTTTAAAATTAGTTCTCCTGTGTTTTACAGCGCGATATTGATATTTCCGAGGTGGTGCCTGTCCCTAGCCCATATTTATGCAGAAAGATCGGCGCTAAAATTTCGTTTCCGTACCCCTTTAAAGGTACACTGACAGGGTATTTATGCTCGCCAAGGTTTTTATTTGTACATGACATATGAGAGCCAAACTACCCAGAACGCAATTTTCGGCTCGAAATTCGGTCTCTTTCCGCCCGAAAACCGCCGATCGAGAACTGGCCGGTTCGAGTCGCGCTAACTCTCCTCTCTGTGATCATGTGCCGTTTTCTATGGTTTTAGACACAACCACCAAATATCATCGTAGGCACACACTCGATATTAAAATAGAAAATAAATATGATACCCATTTTTTGCGGCTTCTAAAAAGCCGCAAATACGTTGACTGACAAAAAAAAAAGTTGCACATTCACGTGACTTCCGTCATTGGGTTCCGAGCAGTTGCGTGTTTTTACTTTATTAAAAATATACGTAACGCTGTAGCAAAATATTGATTGGGTAGTCTTCTGACACAATAGTGAATCGCCTGGCAAGACAATAATGCACAACTTTTGGTGGTGTCAGTGTCCCTTTAAAGAAGCCCTGCAATCATATTTAAGCGTTTGCCTTTTTGCGGTTTCCGCATCACTTGGGGTTCGGGCAAGCCAGCGGGCACGGCGAGAGTAACTAAATGTCAGTGCGTCATATTTCAACCGAACGACGCGGAAACCTCCTCCACCTACGGGGGCGACCCGCGGTGCCGAAAGCGCGCGATATGTGAACTCTTTGGACCTGGGCTTACTACTGGTCAGAGCCGCTAAAAGCTTCTTTTTAGTCGAAATACAAAATATAAGTGGCACGAACCGTTTCAATTATTTATAAAAGTAGTTTGTGTTCAGTATTTTAGATCAGAAAAGAAACAAATGGAGTTTATAAAGTACGGAAACTGGAAATGACCCGCCGACATACCCGCCACTAGGCTGTGGAAAAGGTGGCGCATCCTAGAAAGGTGTAGTGGGATCAGGCACCGACGAGCGGCGAGCGCAGAAAGGTCCCGGATGTACGCGGCGGGCTTTCCAAAAAACGCTCCTAGGCCGCCGCCATGTTGCTGATGCTGATGCGGCTGTGCGACTCTCGCGCCCTCTATGAGCTAGAAATTTTCTGCCACTCTCTGGGACTGTGAAGAGCCGCTCAGCGCGGTTCTCTGCCTACGTTTTTGCGGTTTTGCATTCGACGTTTTCTCGCCTCTCTTGAAAGTTTCCACTTAATATTTTTTACGCGTGCATGCTGCGTACCCTTTTTGTGTTATCTTCCATTGTGAGAAATAAGCCTGGTAAGTGCCTGCCATTCAAGCTTTTCTGCTCGACATTCACGGGAAACGAAGGAGGTGAAGGACGTCGAACTAGAGTTCCTGTATATAGCTACCTACGGTAGCAGAGTTGCGCATTCAGCCTCGGCGGGTGGCCGTAGCGCCGGCTTTCCTGCACGCCCTGGATGCTCTGCTCGTCACGTGACTAAATTTGGCGAATAGTGGCGCCGCGCGCGCCGCCGCGCATGGAAAACAGGAGAGGAGGAGAAGGAGGGCGAAAGCAGGGGAATATACGCCGGGGCGCGAGCAACGTTGGCGGAGCGACCGTAAAGGTGGCTTTCTTGCACGGCGCCGGATGCTTTGCTCCTCACGTGATGGATCTCGGCGAATAGCGGCGTGGCGGCGCGGGGAAAACAAATGCGCAACTCTGCTCCCCCTTCGGGGGAGCATATCGAGGAACTCTACGTCGAACGACACTCGAACATTGTTCTCCCCCCTCCCAGAGATAATCCGCGTAGAATCCTCAGTCATCTCCAAAAATAGTTGTCCGGGTTGGGGTGAGAAACGGGTCAGTCGCGTTTGTTTCTTTGCTTTGGTGCGGTTGTGAAAAAAGGAAGCTCACGCCAAAACGTGCCCCAAAACGAAGTCATCTCGAATTCTGTCCGATCGTCAAGATGTGACTGTCGTCGACCGTAACTGTGTTATTTGAGATCTTTCTCAAATAAATTCTTTTCGGATAACGCTGCATCGTGTGGTACGTATAATATATTGTTCGAATGTTTACACTTCCTCAATTGTATGTCCGTGTCCTGTCCATCGGTAAACACGTTATTTGTGAGCGTGAAAAATGCATGCCTTTCGGCCCTCTTCTGTTGCAATTTATTTTTGACAGCAAAGCGCATTGTCGTTTCACATGCGGCGAATCCCGCGGCGCCGTCAAAACTTATCGTAAAAAAAAAAATATCTAGAACTATACATTCCAGTCGCATTCGCCCTGTCGCGCGCGCACCCAACAAAAATAGTTAAGTTTTTCTTTGTTGCTTCTTTTCTTTCTTTTTTTTTCAAATGTGGCACAATGCTTTCTCAGTGTCCTCGGGAAAATACATGTACAATGAAACACAAAATATAGTGGGAAAAGACGAGAATTTAGCCGCCAGCAGCGTTTGAAACTGCGCTTACGCAGACTGCGCCTATTGAAATCACAGTCCACTCGGTTAGGGTTTGGAGGGACGCCGGTGATAGTCTAGCCTCAAACTCGGTGTCTGGGCTCGAAAACGGTTTGTTGCCCCTGGGGTCAAACGTTTATTTTTTTTTGAAAGGTGTATGCGGGCTCGAGGATCCGACCGGTTCCGAGTCTTCCGAAGGCCTTCGGCGAGTAGGTCTGGCTTGCGTTTTGGCCGTTTGGCGGTATGGCAGCGCAAAGTGGCTCCCGATCTGAACTGATATCTACCCCGTGTTTGCTGTCGTTTGTAGCTAATGAAGTGTCATGACGAATTAGTGTTTAATTGCGCAGCAAATGCAATGCGAGCCGCCCTGACTGCCCGCCTCATACAGCCTATCCAGAACATGCTTTAGTGGCGCCCTCTCGAGCCGTCGACACGGAGTGCGGCAGCCATGAGTGCTTCGCTGAGCTCACAGCCCTTCCTCTAGTTCACGGCAACTCAAGCGACCCAAGACGTCATGAAGGATGTCCTTTTTTGTTTGTATTTCTAATTTTAATTCGCTCATAACTTTTAAAATAAACCATAAATCGAGAAAAGAAAAGTTTCATTGCTGCAGGCATCATAGAGATCATACATACTAACTCTAGAGGAAAAGGTCCGCCATTTTCCCATGGAAGTGCTTCCTCCGACGGGCGTCGGAGGAGTGAGACCTGTATGCAAATCACTCCTCCGACGCCGGAAGTGACGTAGTCGCGTCGGAGGAGAGACGGCTGTGTGGAAATCACTCCTTCGACGCCGGAAGTAACGTATCATCCCCGGCCCCGGATGTTGCCTTTGTTATGACATGTGCCCGACCATGTGCGTCTGCCGCTGTAATCTTCTGTGGTCGGGTCCTGGCCGCGCTGCTATCGGCTCCGGACACGCAAGCTATTTTGGCTGATTTTTCGCACTCTTTGAAGCGTTTTGTTTAGCATTGTCTTGTTCTTTTTAGCAATACATTTTTCCGTATCTAGTGCTACTTTTGTATTTTAGCTTTGATCGCACCCCCAACGTGCCTCGAGTTTTGGTAGCCGGCGATTCGATGGTGAAGTACTTGCCCCAGTACTTGCCATTAAATAGTCGGTTGGCTGTTGAGGTTGCGCCGTTTAGTGGTATTAGAATCGAGCATTTGTTTTCCCAGGTGTCTGAGAGGCTACCCGATTTTGATGTTGTCATCCTGCACGTTGGCACTAAAAATTCCCATATTAGTGCCAGCGTGTACATCGACAAATATCGTCGTCTAGCTGCCCAGATCTGTGAACGCAATCCAATGATGCAGATCGCCTTTTCTGCCGTTCTTCCGAGACGGGAGAATAGGTTCTGCTCATTGGAATGGCAGCGTAGTCACGCTGCAGAGATCGAGGCTTTGAATGACCGTTACCGAGAGGTGAACTCGCTGCTGCGAGAGTTGTGTCGCAGGGAAGGGTTCACGTTCCTTGACGGGCTGGCTGACGAGTGGCACCAGTGGATCGGCCGCGACGGCGTCCACCCAAGCCGGATCGGCAACAAGGTATGCACACACGTGCGTTATGTCGCTGCACTAAAGAGCGCGAATATAGGGCGGCAACGATTGCAAGGCTCGCCGTAAAGAGGGGAACTGAAAATTGACCCGCGCACGTGGCGAGCTAAATTACTGGTTGGATTCAACTGGTTGACAGAACGGTGCCAACTCCAGCAACGAAACACGGCACGACTTGGAAGGTTGACCAGTCTTTATTGTCAAAAACCGAGAATGAAAATAAATAGGTTCGGTGACGTCCACGTTTCCGGGTTGAAGGAAGAACAGCGTGGCTCTAAGGACCGCTTCAGTTGCCTCGTTAGCTAATTGCGACGATTGAATCGCCCTTTCAGAGCTACTATTCGTGCGAGGTGAAAGATTAGCCGCTGGCGTCTGTCAGCATCCGTGACGACGTCCCTAGCTTCTCTCCATCGCGTGAAGAAAGGTGCTCACCCGTGTTTCCGCGTTGCGCAGGTGAAGTCCTGATAGGATGCGGTTGCGCTCCCACCTTACAATCAAACAATTCCAATTGCTTGTGTCACAACAGCTGCCAGTTCGGGTAGACTTTCCGCCATTTTTACCATTGTGCCCTCCGCGGCTGTTTTCTCCTCCGTCTGGTTTCTCCCCGGGGTGCCCTCCGGTCGTTGAACTGCATCTTTCTGCCCTCGAAGTTCACCGTTGGGTCGCAAGAAGCGCAGATATGGTTTTGACATTTTCCTAACGACACGTTTATCAATACACCAACTTCGGCGATGGTTTCCCTTCTCTACCGACCACTGGATGGATGGATAGATGAATCCGGCTGAGCCCTTTGGATCGGGCGGTAGCTTAGGCCACCTAGCCATTTTGTTTTACCATTTAAGCTTAGAATATTTAAATGTGACAGCTATATTCACTCCGTACTGCAAAGAAAGTGAGGCTATAAAACACCCTTGCCATCAGTTAATAAGAAAATACCTAGTTTTCTCTCGCTTTCTGCCCCCATTCACTTAATCTTTGCTTGGTAATCTCTACTGTCTTGAAATCCACTGTTCCTTCGCTGTTTCTAAAACCCAATGACTTTATTAAATCTATGTTCTCTTCGGTCGGCATAGGGTGAAACTCTTTACAGCAGAGTATCAAGTGCTCAGCCGTCTCGTCTTCCTCTCCACAAGCAGTGCACACTGTATCCATTTCCTGGTACTTCGCTCTGTGTGTTCTGGTTTGCAGTACACCCACCCTCGCCTCAAACAACAATGAGCTTCCCCTAGAATGGTCATAAATGCTTTCTTTGGCATTAACTGTTTTGTTTAATTTATAGTTTTCCAGAGCCGTCTTTGTCTGCATTCCCTCTAGCCACCAATCTCTTTCTGTGGCCTTAACTGACACCTGCTCTTCCTAAGTCCACTATAGCCTTAAAAACTGTCCTCCTAACTCCCTAGTGCAGTCTCCACTTTTTATCTATACTCCTCATGTATAAATAGCTGAAAACCTTTTGTGCCCATTGCCACCCATCCATTTGCCTCGACCAATCCTCAAATTCTATCTCAAATGACGCCCATCCCATGTCTCCTTGTACTAGCTCCCTGGTTTGGTGTTTTGCAATGTGTCCCCAAAGCCAGCCTACCTACTCCGCACTGTATTATTTCTAGACTCGCACGCACTTCGGATTTCACACATAGCACTGCATTTCCAAAAGTCAAGCCAGGCACCATGACCCCTTTCCAAATCTCTCTCACCACCTCATACCTGTTGTAACTTCAAAGTGCTCTATTTTTCATTACAGCTGCATTTCTGTTGCCCTTACCTATTATATACTTTTCATGCTCACTGAGATATTCTGCACCATCACATATCCATACTCCTAGATACTTGTATTTACTAGCTTTCTCAACTGTAATATTCTGTACCTTCAGCCTCTCAACTTCATCATCGTTAAAAATCATGATTGGTGATTTTTCACTGCGTCACATGTGCCATCTGTCGACAACGCGTAAAACTAATCCGCATGCGTGTCACAACGGCCTGCTGGGTCCGATTAAAAAAAAAAAAAGGAGTAGGTCTTTGCTTCAATGTTTAATACATTTTTATACATGTACATAAATGTTGATTTAAGTAAATATTTTTATGCCACTAATTATATTGCAATTTATAAAAGGATATGTACATTGAAATTTGACATATTTTTTTAAATACATAGATGTATACCTAGTAATTAAAGGTTTATCCATTTCTTTAAATCTATATATTTAAGTTTTTTTTTTCCTTCTCTAGCAAAGATCAATACACCCCCATCTTGTCGAAATGGACACGGCATGTGAACCCCAACAGGGAATGGGAAAACAATTGAAACTTCCCCTGGGAATCCCTCCAACCAGTTAACTCCTTAACTGGTCCCAGTTACCCCTACCCGTTCCCTATCTGGGCATAGTCAAGCCAGTTGGCCCCTCAGCAAGTCCTAGTTGCACTCCTATTGGTAACAGCCAATTCCAACTTGGGACCAGTTAGTTCCAATTGCAACCAGTCGAGATGCCAACCGGTCCCAGTTAGACGTTTTGGCATAGGTGCCTTGTATGTAAAGCTAAAGGCACAGCACCTTTTCTGTGAAATCTTCAAGGCAACATCTTTAACAATTTGAACGAGTGAGGTGACTGCAGCTGACAATCAGCTTTGGTGCTAATGTCATGTACCGTGTGCAGGTCCTCGCTGGGTTCATGGGCCAGCGAGTACGGAGCATCCTGGAGAAGATGGCCAGGGCCAAGATCCAGCAGGACCACAAGGAGGCAATGCCAGGGACCCGCTCGTGGGCGGCTGGACCATCAAGGGTGCCCTATTGACCGCCCCATGTTGTCTCTTCAGAATTCTCCGACTTTTCCAGCAAAGTTTTGTTAATCTGACGACATAGTCTTTCTAAGAGGCTGGGGATATTATAGCAAAAAGTTTGTGGGCCTCACATCTGGTAACAAGAAGGCTCCAAAAACAAGGCCCCTTGAAAACTGAGCAAGTTGCTACTTCTGTAAATTGGCTGTGAAGAAACCAACAACTAGGCGCTGCACAGTCCGATGATTCTTTCCGAGTCTGAAGTGGTTCGAGGAAATCGGAATTTTGTGTTATAATCTGAATAAACTGTTCTGCATTACAAATCGATTTTGATGTTGTTTACTTACATTTGGTGGGGTGCCAATTTGTCTTATACCTTAGTAGTTACATCAACACACTGCATTTGATATCAATTCTGCCCCAAGAATAGCTAGCGCACATGGGCCCCTTTTTTCCTTTCTTTTTTTTTCTTTATTGAACTCAACATTGCAGCACAGAATGCTATGTCATTACAAGGAGTTCACGCCCAGCGACTTGTGGGCGAACTAAAGTTCTCTCATGTTCTTAATTTCACTGAACAAGTGTGCCCACTCAGGCGTAGTTTCTGGTGTTCTGCAATACACCGTTTGAACCTCGTTTACAATATCGATAAAATGCTTCTGTACAGACTTAATTTTTGGGTCAGCATGCCGAAATTCCATCCTTGTTTTCCAAATACTAAACAGGCCGAGTATCATAAAAAGGTCATAGGGCACAGTGTCACTTTCTTCAACAGGTAAATACCTAATGGTCTCCGGGGACAATATAAAATCTTTTTTCAGGGTCCTTTGAAGAATGTCCCAAAAAAAAACAGCATCCCAACAATAAATAAAAACGTGTTCGATGGTTTCTGGTGTCTTACACAGGAGACAATCCACCGACCAAGGAACAAAGATTCCCTTATCTCTTAGCCATGGCTTGACTGGCAATGTCTCGCTGTGCAACTTAAAGAAAAAGGACTTTACCCCTGGTGGAACACACATCTTTTTCACACGCTGGAGCACATCTTGACCCGGACATTGGCTGTACACCGATCGATACAGTGGCGCAGGGAAAAGGAGCTCAATCAGGTCACGACTGAGCTTCTTTTTAGTGACACTACCCAGGTAGTCCATTGAAAAACGCGCTCGCAAAAACAATACAGAGTCTTTCACTTCTTTTAAATAACCAGAAAAACAAGGGGGTTCTGTACATTCACTAGTCACCAACACTGCCGGAAAAGGGTTCGCCAGTCTCACCTGGATAATTGCACGTAGAAAGGGATGATTCTGGTCGCGTAGGAAAAAGAAGCGCGAAACAATCTTACGGACGAAAAGATGCGAGAGGCCAAGGCCTCCCGACTTGATGCTCCGGAAAAGGTTATCTCTTCTCATCCTCTCCCACCCGGACTTCCAGATGAGAGTGGCGAACACCCTATGGAACTTTTGGATACTCATTCGTGTACATGCCAAAACTTGCATAATGTACCAGATCTTTGCGATCAAAAAAATATTGCACACTGTGGCGCGCGCAAAAATTGACAAGTTCCGACTGACCCAAGTGTCCGCCTTCGTCTTTAAATTTTTTGCGAGCTCCGTCCAGTACGGCGTGCTAACTTTGTAATATTCCAAGGGCACCCCAAGATATGTACATGGCGTAGCTTCCCAATTAAAGCCTGCAAAGTAATGCGGTTTTAAAGCCCACCTCCCGTGCCACACCCCACAACATTTCCCCCAGTTCACTGCCGCTCCTGTGGCGTTACAATATTCTTTCGTGAGGACGACAGTTTCCATGACGCTTTCTTCGTCTTTACAAAAAATAGCCACATCGTCAGCGTATGCGAACACTTTAACTTCAACATTATTGAAAAGAAACCCCCGGATATTCTTGCTAGCTATCACGCTCACACAGAAAGGTTCAAGGTACAGAGCAAATAGTAAGGGTGAAAGGGGACATCCCTGCCTGACTGACGAAAGCACTGCAATTTTCTTAGAAACATTATTATTTTACACCAGCCTGGTGGTACAACCTTTGTACGCCATATCCACGCCCTTTAGGATAACTTTGCCTACATTAACATGCAATAAAATACTCTTTAGAACATCATGCCTAACTCTATCAAACGCTTTCTCCAAGTCTAATTGTATCATTGCCACTTTATCCCTCCCAACAGCTTCAAAAATGCTTCTCGCTATATGAATATTAGTTTGAATGGACCTTCCCTTGATGCCACATGTCTGGTGATCCCCGATGAGGTCCCGAATGACACGCTGGAGCCTACGCGTAATAATCTTAGTGAAAATCTTGTAGTCTATGTTACATAATGTAATCGGCCTATATCCCGTCACGCTGAGCCTTTTCGACAAGTCCTCCGACTTCGGTATCAGTATGGTGTGGGCCTCTACAAAGGAACGCGGTAGACAGTAGTTTTCGAATGACTCATTAAATACGGCCAACAGTACGGGACTAAGGGCTTTTTTAAAGGTTTGGTAAAATTCTGCACAAAGCCCATCAGGTCCCGGGGTTTTCTGTCTCGCTAGCGAATCTATTGCTCGTTCAACCTCTTCTAGCGTGATTTCTCCCTCGAGCCACGTTGTAACCTCCTCATCCAACTTGGGCATGAGTGACAAAAATTCTTTAAATTTACGAAATACTACGGGAGTCGGTTTTTCCCCAAAAAGTTTCCCAAAGTACTCAACAAAAGCTTCTTCTATTACATCTTTATCGCTGCTAATTTTCCCTTTATATTCTATTTCTCTTATTTCTCGAGTCAGGGCATACTTCTTTTCCTCAGCCAGAGCTCGCTTAGTCGGCTGTTCTCCCAACAGAAATTTCTCCGAGCGTGCCCGCACAACTGCCCCTTTATACTTTTCATTGTATATTTGACCTAACTCCATCTTGTTGTGCCGAATGTCGTCGCGGCAAGTTCCAGGGCGCTCACACTCTACTCGACACAATGCGTTAAGGTCTTGCTTCAACTGCCTTTCGCGAGCTCGAGCTTGGAAAGTGATGTTACTGGCCCTTTCTACCGCGGCCAACTTAACTCCCTCTTTGAATCCTTCCCAGGCCTCTCTGATACAAGTCTCTTTTTCGACCACACCCCGCAACAGCTCAGCGACAGTGGTTGCAAAAAGTTTATCATTTAAAAGTGTTCGGTTTAATTTCCAAAGCTGCCAGTTAAAACGAGACGCTCTGCTTTCTTTCCTGCCAATTTTTACGCTTACGAGGCAGTGGTCAGTAAAAAAAATGGGTTGGACACGGTAGCCGTGCACAGTGCGCAGTACATCAACTGTAACATAAATACGATCTAAACGAGCGTGTGACGTATTTTGAAAATGCGTATACCTTACGCCACTTCTTATGGTGCATAAGGCACCGACGTTCTCGAGCCCGCACGCATTTACAATTTCTTTCAAAAGTCTCGAACTGCTGTCACCACTCGTGGCCGCTCCAGTACTATCCCGCTCGTCACAGACACAATTAAGATCACCCATGCACACGACCACTTTGTCACACTCCAGATAATTACGTAGAAACTGAAAAAAGACTTCTCTATCCTTCGCGTTATTGGGAGCGTAGATACATATCACTCGCCACTGGACATCTGACAGCGTGAAATCACAAGAAATGAACCGCCCGCATTCATCAATAACAACTTGCAAGTTTTCATAGTTCACGGACTTCCTTAAAAAAAGAAAACAGCCCCCTGACCGACCCGCGGCATGACTAGCGGCAACTTCATATCGCCGGAGATAAGGCTTCAGCGCTCTCTCAATGTTCTCTTCTGTCGGCAATTTAGTTTCTTGCACCGCAAGAAAGTCCGGCTGCTCGTCCTCTACCAGACGCTGCAGTTGGTACTGCTTCCTCGACGCGGCCAACCCACGGACGTTTAAAGTGGCGAATCTAAGAGACATATTACTATCACGGTGCTAAAATAAAGAGAAGGCTAGGCTACGATACAAAAAGCCGCTTAAGTCTAACAGGTAAACACATACAAAAATATAACACTCTTACTTGTACTAGGCCGCCTAAGCAATATTACTTAGCCGCAGTACAGTTCCTTCACTATGGAGCCTTCGGCACGTGGCCTTCCAGTGGTCCTTGAGGGGGGGCGTGGCGTCGGCCCCTCTTGGAAGTCACCGTCTGCCACCTCTGGAGCACCCTCTCCTGCAGGCTCTGCGGTTGACCGGGCTCCTGGGTTGGTGTCGGTTCCAGGGAACGCTTGGCAGAGCCGCTCACGGCGTCCATCTCGCCGTCCTTCTGGTCGTTCTCCCTTTCAACGGCAGCCAGGGTCGACTCTCGGCGGGCGTAGTCGTGCCCGCGCTCGTCCCCCTGGAGGGCCGAAACGCGTGCGACGTCGTCGCCCACCGGTTTCGGGGTGTCCGTGTTATCTGCGGGGAGCTCGGCCGTGGTGGACGTCTCGTGTGGTGGGACGACCACGGTGGTCTCGGCCCGCCCCTGAGGTTGGCTGCCCTCCGAGTTTCCGCCTGCTGCGTCCTCAGCTTCATCCTGGTCCATGAGCAGCTCCGAGGCGTCGTCCTCAGGGCCGCCGTTAGCCACGTCTGCATAGGTTTTCTTGCAGTCGTTGCGTAGGTGTCCGAAACGTCTGCAGCTCTCGCAGCGCGGCACTCGGCACTCCCTACGCATGTAGCCGGTTCGACGGAACCTGAGGCAAAGCGGAGCTCTACCTGGGGCCAGCACCAAGGCCGTGCAGCCTGGGAGCCGTAGTTGGTGCGGTAGGTTCTCGAGCGTGACGCCTTCCTTTAGGGTCAGCCTCACGACTCGGGTGGTCGACTGCACACCTTCGAAGCCTCCGACACGCCAGGTCTCTCGGGCGACGTCCTCAACCTTGCCATACGGCTCCAGGGCCTTCTTCACGGTTTCGTCCGGAAGGTGAAAAGAAATCCAATGAAGCTTCAGCCTCACCTCGGCCTTCTCCGGGTCGACGACGATGCAGCGTCTCCCTTTAGCCTCGAAGGACGCGGCGTCCACCAGCTTC